GTGGGGAGGAGGTCGGGGGGGGGGGGTGTCTCATTCCCCCCCCTCGGCCGGCTGATACTGGTAGGTGCCCGTTCAATAGCGACGCTCCCTGCTGTAGCCTTGGGGGGCCCCCCAGACGCGGGGCAGGGCGGTAGGCCCATGGTAGAGCTGCCCCTGCAGCCGGCCCAAGGCCCGGTAGCCCTGCGGCGGGGGCATGTAGGCGGGCGACAGGAAGATGAGGGGGTGGCGGGGCTCCTCGCTGGCCGGGGGCACGCCCCTCCGCCTCATCAGCGCCCGGGCTGGCGTGTCCTGCGTGCCCCACTTGTGCTTGCCCTGGGGGGAGGGATGGGGGGCAGCCCCCCCAAGGGAGAGTTAGTACCATCTGGGAGCACCCCTTGCCGGTCTCCCCACCCAGTGCCCCCTGCCCCCCAGCCCAGCATCCTCTGCCCCATCATCCCACCCCAGAGCCTCTCTGACCCCCAAACCTCTCCCCCTGCCATGCCCCCCTCAGGGCTCTCCTGCCCATGTCCCAGCAGTTCCACCTACCCCCCAAATCCTTCCAACCCTGTACCCCCATCTCCCCAGCCCTGCTCCCAGCCTCTTACCCCCCCATCTTCCCACCAAATGGGTCCCTGTGCCCCCTGTATATCCCCCATCCCTGAATTCCCCCCCCCCCACAGATCTTCCTGGGGGGGGTCCCTGCCATGACCCCCCAGCTCCAGCATTTCTTCACCCTGCCCCAGGGTCCCTCAGCACAGAGGGTTGGGGGGGCAGGATCCCGCAGTGCCCCCTCTACTCCCCCCCCAGCCCCAATGGCAGCAAAGGAGAAAGGGAGGATGGCGAAGAGTCAGGGGACGAGGGAGGAAAGGGAAGGAGACACTGGAGCAGGGGAGACGCAGCTGGGAATTCATGGGGGGGTCAGGGCCTGGGGGAGCGGCGCTGCTCCCCCTCTGCCCCACAGCTCGCCCAAGGAGGGCAAAAGCCCCGTAGGGCAGAGCCGGGAGCGGCGCCTGGGTCAATATTGACCCAGGGCGGAGGAGATGTTGCACTAAGGCAGGGCCCAGGGTGCAGCTGGGACCGGAGATACAGGGAGGGCATCACGCCACCGCCAGCCCCACCTGGGACGCATGGGAGTGGGGCAATCTCCAGCCCTGGGCCCCCAGGTCTGCCCTCTCCCTGGGATACACAGGAGCCCTGATCCCCAGCCCCCACCTAGGGATACACACTCTTACCAAATCCCAAACCTGGGATACACAGGGGACCCCCATATCCTAAAGCCCTGCCCCCTCCCCCAGGATACACAGGGCCCTCAAATCCCCAGCCTTGCCCCCCAGGATATACAGTGAACCCCCCCCAATCCCCAGCCCTGTGCCCCAGGATTCACAGCCCACCCCGCTCCCGCTCCCTGGCCTGGCACTGCTCGTTCACCTTCGCCTCGTCCCCCGGCTCGGGGCCGTCGCTGGAGCCGGAGAGCTGGGAGAGGCGGCTCAGGTCCCAGAGGGACTTGCTGGGTCTCTGCGCTGCGGCGCCCGCCAGCGGGCCCGGGCGGCTGCCCCGGTCCACGTCACTCAGGGCGCTGTGGCCCTCGGGGCCCAGGCGCCGGGGCAAGGCGGGCAGCTCGTCGCCCACCGTGGCCCGGGTGACCCGCACCAGCTCCCACTCCCCCGCCCGGCTCTTGGCCACGGGCTGGGGGGCCACGGAGCGGCGCTCGGCCACCCGGTGGGCACCCTTGGAGAGCTGCAGCCCACCCAGCTCGCTGCGGTAGGGGGCGGGCTGGCCGTTGGGGCGGCCGTCCCGAGGAGGGGCCGGGGGGCTGGGCGGGGGGACCCGGGCAGGCGCCAGCGGGCGGGAGGCAGCGTAGAGGGTCCGGAACTCGCGGTCGAAGGCCCCGGCGATCTCGCCCGTCAGCAATGTCACCAGCTGGCGGCTCAACCGGGCGTCACTCCATGTGAAGCTGCGGAGGGGGTGGGGGGATAGTGGGGTGCAGGAGTGAGTGGGGGAGGGGAAGGAGGATAGCGGGATGTGCAAGGGCAGGGAGGAGAGTGCCGTGCAGCAGGGAGGGTGAGATAACAATGGGGTGCAGGGGTGAATGGGGGATAACGGGGTGCAGGCGGGGTGGTGGAGGGGTGAATGGGGGATGGTGGGGTGCAAGTGAGGACAGTGGTGGGGGAGGGGCGAGTGGAGTGCAGGGGGATGGGAGGGGGACCAGAGGATAGTGGAGTGGGGGCGGGGTGAGTGGGGGAGGGGCAAGTGGGGTGCAGGGGGACGGGAGACAGGGAGAGAATGAGAAAAATTAAACGTTCTGAACGAACAAAATTGAAACGTACCCAAGGAAAATAAAATGCTGGGAAATGGGGGACCCTGAACGCCCCCCTCCAGGGCAAACGGCACCTTCCCCACAGGACAGCGTCCGCTCAGGGGAGTGTGAACAGCGACGTCGCACCCTGCTGCCCGGTGCTGAGGGGCGACCACCTGGTTCTACCGAGACCCCCTGCCCAGCGCTGCCACGTGGCCCCTCAGGGGTGGGGCGCAGCAACCGCTCTCCTTGTCCCTACGCACTGAGGCCCCGAGGCAGGGGGCACTTAGGGAAGCGGACGGCCACAGGCCCAGCTGGGATTGGGGATCCCCCCACTCCCCTTCCCAGCCCCGATGACTCTGCATGCACCCCCGGACACCTGGGTCCTATTCCCAGTTTCCAATACCTCCTGCATGACTCTACATTCACTCCCGGATGCTTGGGTTCCGTTCCCAGTTTGCCATCCCCCCCAACTCCCCTTCTCATCCCCCATGACTCTGCGTGCACTCCCGGACGCCTGGGTCCTATTCCCATTTCCAATGCCCCCTGCATGACTCTGCATTCACACCTGGACACCTGGGTCCTATTCCCAGTTCTCACTTCCTGCTGTCCTGTCCCCCCGCCTCATTTAATCCACCCCAACCCTGCTGACTCCTCACCCGGATCCCCATGGCACCCAGCTCCCCCACAACCTGCGGGGCTGGGGACCCCAGGACCCCCAGCTCGGCGCAGAGACAACCACACCAGCCGTCGCCCTGTGCCAGGGCTTTATTCCTCCAACGCCTCTTCGCGCGCGCACACACACAACCCCGCCCCAGTCTCTCACAGTGCCCCCAGCAGGACAGCCGTGCCCAGCACCAACTGCAGGCCCACGCCGGGTCCTCGCGGGCGGGCGCCGGCCCCGTTACACAGGCTGCCCTTGCAGCACTGGGTGACCAGGCTGTAGGTCACCCCCATGTGAGTGACAGGGTGCTCCTTGCCGCAGCGCATGGCCCGGGTGCAGCCCTTGGTCTGGATGAGGGAGACGCCCAGGGCGGCGCCGTGCCCCACGAAGCAATCCTCGTCCGGGGCGCAGCTCATGCGGGTGCTGGGGCAGTGGCGGGAGGATGTCACCTCGCAGAAGAAGCACTCCTTGGGGCTGGCGCCGGGCAGCGCCAGCAGGAGAGAGAGCGCCAGCAGGGGCAGCATGTGAGCAGCAGGGGGATCACACAGATGGGGAGAGCAGAACCGGAGGCTGGATCCGGGCCACGCCGGGGACGTTAGAACCAAGTCCCAGCCCTCCTGCTCCAGCGACTTCAGAACCAGAGTCTGGATCCGGGCTACTCCGGGGACATCAGAATCAGGTCCCAGCCCTCCTGACCCAGCAACTTCAGAACTGGGGTCTGGGTCCACCCCGCAGCGGGGATGTCAGAATCAGGGTCTGGATCCAGATCTCCTGGATCCAGCAACTTCAGAAGCGGAGTCTGGATCTGGGCTGCTCCAGTGACTTCAGAAGCGGAGTCTGGATCTGGGCTGCTCCAGTGACTTCAGAAGCGGAGTCTGGATCCGTGCCACTCCAGCAACGTCAGAACCAGGGAACGAGCTGGATCCCAATTGCTTGGATCCAGTCACTCCAGAACCAGGTGGGAGCCGCCAGGACTCGGTGAGTTCAGAACCAGGGTCTGGCTGGAGGATCCGGACTCCCAGCCCCTCCGAACGTGTCTGACACTAACTGGGTCGCTCTGGGCTACCGGCCGTGGGCGCTGCAGAGAGCTCAGTGCTGCCCCGAGCCCCCTTGCCCAGAATGAGTAGCCCGGCAGCGATGACCTCACAATAAGGCTGCAAGATTCTCATTGGCCCATTCCAGCCAGAGCCTGGTGATGTCACAGTGAGTGATGTCACCACTGCACCGTGATGTCACAGTGAGTGATGTCACCATGAGGTCTGGGGCCCAGAGAGAGTGATGGAGTCATCAGTTAGAGTGGAGGGTGGAGGGGGCTGGGAGCCAGGACTCCTGGGTTCTATCCCCATCTCAGCCCCTAACACTGTCACAAACACATTGCAGGATCTAAGGGTCTGGTCCCTTCCCCACGCTCTGCTGCAGGATTCCCCTTCTGCAACATGGGGGTGCTGACCTCTCCCCAGTAGGGGGCTCACCAGGGGGCGCGCTCCCTTCTGCAAAGCACAAAGGGGTGGCATATCACCCCCAACACACACACAACCACCAGCACCCACGCTGCCCCGCATCTTGGCACCCGCCGTATGATCCGTGCATCCCAACACTGCTTAAACCGAGAGCTTTTCTCGCCACTCGTGAACTGAGTTCAGTACGTTCTCAGCCTTGCTGCCCAGCCGGCCGGGTCCATCCCCCTCACACAATCCTCCCCACCCCACCCCATTGACACCCAATTGCAGAGACCAAGGCCCGGTGCTGCGATGCGGCCCCTCTGGGGTGGGGAGCAAGGGCTGGTTATACAGGGACCCCTCAGCTGGCGTGGAGAAGGCCCCATGGGGCTGGGACAAGACGGGAGACGCTAAAGGAAACCCCCGGTGCTGCAGGGAGCGGGGGGCCCAGGCGGGAGTGCTCTCCCCTCCCATTCATCCCTGATGCCCCCCCTCACCTGTAGCTCCCCGTTATCACCGTGTCCCCATCGATCAGCAGGAATTTCTCCTTCAGGGTCCCAGTGACCTGTTTGTGCTGTCGGCTCCAGAAGGTGCAGCCCGCAATGACCCGGACTCGCAGGTTCTGGGTGGGGGGGGAGGATGCACAAAATCAGAAGCTGGGGCCAAAGCAACATTTGAGGGATCCCCACCCCCAGGGCAGATAACCAAAGCCAGAGGGGATTGGGGTCCCTGAGCGTAGTCGAACACCCCCCAGATCTCCGTATCCCAGTCACAGAGCAGGTCCCCCGGCTTTTCTCCCTTTGCAGTCCCTTCCCCTCTAGGGGGCCAGCAGGGGGCGCCCCTCCCCGGTAGTCAGGGCTCGTCCCATTGCCCCAGGGCAGCACTAGGGGGCGCTGGGCTGCAGTGGGCCAGGCCTCACCTCCATGTAGCGCACGTTGAGGCAGGCGCCCTCTGCCATGCTGAGGAAGGCGGCCAGATGCTGCTCCCCCAGGATCAGGTACACGGGGACCCCGCGCTGCATGCCGGCCTCGTGCAGATCCAGCAGGATATCGGGGTCCGTGAAGACGTCCATCACTATGGCAACCACCTGGGAAACACCCCACAAAGAGCAGCTGCACACATCCCATCTAGGGGGCCCCAGCTCCCATCCGGCCCCAGGGCAGACACCAGCCGGCTCGGGTGTGCGGGGGGGAGGAGATTGAGCGGGGTAGATTGGGCTCCCAGCACTCGGTATCATTCCTCTGGGACTCCCGACAACAGGTCTAACCCCACTCCCCTCCCAGAGCCGGAGAGAAAACCCAGGAGTCCTGGCTCCCAGCCTCCCTGCTCTAACCACCAGACCCCACTCCCCTCCCAGAACTGGGGAGAGAACCCAGGAGTCCTGGCTCCCAGCTCCTGCTGCTCTAACCACTAGACCCCACTCCTCTCCCAGAGTGGGGAGAGAACCCAGGAGTCCTGGCTCCCAGCTCCTGCTGCTCTAACCACTAGATCCCACTCCCCTCCCAGAGCTGGGGAGAGAACCCAGGAGTCCTGACTCCCAGCTCCTGCTGCTCTAACCACTAGACCCCACTCCCCTCCCAGAGCAGAGGATGGAACCCAGGCGTCCTGGCTCCCTGTTACCTTGGCAGCCTGCTGAATTTTCCGGCGCACCAGCTCCTTGACCTTGGGGGCCCCGTCCCCCGGCGGGTGTGTGTAGACCTCCGCACGGGTGATGCCCTTCCAGTTCTCATCCAGGGGCCAGCCCAGCTCCAATTCGGGGATGGGCTCGTCCGAGCACCCGGGCCAGTAGCTGAGGCTGAGTTCGTCGGCGTCCCCGTCCCGCTCCCCCACTGGCTCTGGGACGTCCCGGGCCGCCTCGGCCAGGTGCCGGAGCTCGTCATCGGACAGGAAGGAACGCAGCCCGTCCTGCGCCAGGCGCTGCGCATAGGCCGACTGCCCTCCGGCCAGCAGGGCCTCCACAGCCAGCCGCTGCCCCTCCGAGTAGAAGAATTCGGGGCTGGATTCAGTCACCAGGGTACCTGGGGGGGCGTCCTCCAGGCAGTCCAGCTGGGAGGCCGCCATGGGCCCCGTGGTGAGTGGGGCTGGGGTTGGGGGGGCACCCCCCCCAACACACACACACACAATCAGAGAGACAGACAAAATAAATACACACACAGACACCTCCCCAACACACCCTGCTCTCTGCCAACCAACCTGGCAACCAGGTCAGATGATCAGTCCTCTCTCTCTGCACCAGGCGCTGCCCAGACAGAGTCACCGAGATCGGGGCCCCATCGGGCCGGGCGCTGCCCAGACACGGAGTCACCGAGATCGGGGCCCCGTCGGGCCGGGCACTGCCCAGACAGAGTTGACAGTCGTCAGTCCTTCCCGTCCCCTGTCCAAAGCATGGCGCCTAATCCACGTTCGGTTCGCCGCAAGCCCCAACGTGCAGCACCCTGCACCTCCAGCGGTGCAGTCCTAGGAGGTAGCGACATCTGTAGGGAAACACCCCCACACCAAGGGGTGTCTCTGTCCTGGGGCACCTCACAGCTGGACCCCGCCCCTGTCTGGCCTGGGGGGCAGACGTTAGGCTGGGCTAGGGGTCAGAAGGACAGCCTCAGACTGGGGAGACCTGGGTTCAAGGTCCTGCTGCGCTATGGCCCTGGTCTCTCCGTGCCTCAGTTTCCCCAGATACCACAGTGAGGAGTATCTAAAACAGACGGGTGCCTCTGTCATGCTGGCACAGACCTCCCCTGGGCCAATTTGCACCTATGAGTGCCCCCGGGACCCAGCCCTCGGCAATCGGGTTCCTGCCCTGGGGGGCTCCGCCGGTCGAAGGCCCTAGAGGGAGGGAGACAAGGCTTCAGGGCAAGATCCCAGCTTTGGGGAAGAGAGACACACCCCACCGCCCTGGTCACGGCCGGGCGCTGCAGCGGAAGGCGCGATAAGATTAGATTCAAAGGGTGTGTTTTTGGTTTCCCACCTCCATTTCTGTGAGTTATAGGGCTATGGGCTGGACAGGGCATGAGGTGCAATGGTTAGAGCGGGGGGGAGGGGGCTAGGAGCCAGGACGCCTGGGTTCTCTCCCTGGCTCTGGGAGGGGAGTGGGGGCTAGTGGTTAGAGAAGGAGGGAGCTGGGAAACAGGACGCCTGGGTTCTATCCCTGGCTCTGGGAGGGGAGTGGGGGTCCAGTGGTTTGAGCCGGGTGGCTGGGGTTCTCTCATAGACCATAGACGCTCCCCTTCCCGCCCCCCCAGACTCCCAACAAGGAAAAACCTCATCACCAGGGCATAGTTTCCTGCAAACAAACAGAACCAGCCCTGCCAGGGATTAATCTCGTAAAATCGAGGAATGGGGAAGACCAGCAAGAAAGAGCCATAATGGGGCCCAGGCCCCCATTCCCCGCCAAGAACCAAGTCCTGGCTCCCAGTCCCCCTGCTCTAACCACCAGCCCCCACTCCCCTCCTAGACCCGGGGAGAGAACCCAGGAGTCCTGGCTCCCAGCCCCCCTGCTCTAACCACTGCAACCCACACCTACCTGCCCCAGGGATCCGGGTTCATATCCTCCGCCCGGCGCTTTGTCCTGTCCCTGTTAATGATTCCCCAGGCTGCGCTCCTCCCCCTGGGCTCTGCCAGCCCCGCCCCCCGGCCCCCCAGGCAGGCCTTGGAGCTGGGCCCAGAACTTCCTTGGAAGTTAAAGGGGAAAGCAGCTGGGCCCTCACCCTGCCCGCTGAGCAAACAGGGCGGGCGCGGGGATGGCACCTGGGCGGCAGGTGACGAATGGGGCCGGAGGCACTTCACCTTGGGGTGGCACCAAATAATCACCCCTGAGTTGGCAGCGGGGGTCCTCCAGGGCTGTGCAAAGGAGGCCAGGAAAGAGTCAAAAGGGAACCCAGGCCTCCTGGCTCCCAACCCTCCCCCGGCTCTAACCACTAGCCCCCACTCCCCTCCCAGAGCCAGGGAGAGAACCCAGGAGTCCTGGCTCCCAGCCCCCTGCTCTAACCACTAGCCCACACTCCACTCCCAGAGCTGGGGAGGCAGGGCCTAGCCCTGGCCAAACCCCTCCATGGTGCAGGGGGTGTTCAGGGCCGGACTGCGAGATCTGGAGGTTTGCTCTGGGGCTAACCGGTCCGTCACCCCCCATCCCACTGGGGTGGGGGGCAGCACCTGCCTGGCAGCCCCTGGCACCGAGCCGCCGCCGGCAGCATCCCGGATCTGGGCGGGAGCCAGGTGCAGGGCCTGGCAGCCGGATGGTTGTTACCAGAATCCCCAGGCCCCAGCGCCAAGATAACACGAACCTGCCGGACTGGTTGGGCTGCCATGGGATCCTGCAACCCCCGAGCCTGCCCCCCCAAACTCACCTTCGGGCCCCCTCCCCCGAGCCTGCCCCCTGTGCAGCCCAGCCCCCCTCCTCTGAGCCTGCCCGGGCCCCTGCCCCCAAACCTGCCCCCCCACACTCACCCTCAGGCCCCCTCCCCCGAACCTTCTCCCTAAACTCACCCTCGGCCCCCCTCCCCCGATACCCCAGCTCCTTCCAGTGGCTGCTCCGCATGGAGCCCAACATGCCCAGCTCAGGGGCAGTTGCTCTCACAGGGTTGGGGGTTCAATCTTGGGGTGCAGCCATTAGCAGGAGTGTTTGGGGCCGGGGTGGTTGTGCTCCCAAGGGGCTTGCCCCCCGAGAGATTCTCTGCTCCACATGCCTGGGTCCAGCCTCCTGGCCACGCAGAGAGATGGAGGGATTAGAGGGGCCCAAGGGTATAGGACCCCACGGGGAAGGGAAATGGGATAATCGTTGATTCAGTCTAGTCTGACACCACCCCACGGCTGGACATTGAAGCCAAACCCATCCCGACTGGGAAGAAGGTGTGAATTGTTCCTAGGGAGGGGAATTAACCACCCGAATGACCAATGGATTCCCCATCAGTGGCCATTTTTAAATCAAGATGGGCCCTTTCCCTAAAAGATCTGCTCTAGTTCGCACAGGAGTTATTTCAGGGCAACCCTATGACCTGTGTCGGGCTAGGTGATCCCAATGGTCCCATCTGGGCTTAGATTCAATGAAGCCAGGCTTTGACCTATAAAGAAGGAGCAATTAAATGCCAGTGATACTGTAAACAGAAGAAGTCACTGCCCAAGGCAGCAATAACTAACCCAGGGACCATGGGCTGGTTTAACAAGCGGCACGAAAGAGAGCAGAAAGCCAGCGAAGAGTGAGCTTCTGGTGGGCCCAGAACCCACGGGGAAGGTGGACTCGACATTGTGAGGAAGGAGACATCTGCCTGTGGTTGGTTGGTCCCGCTGGAAATGGGATTCGGCACACCTTCCTCGCAAGCAAACGGGACAGCACCAGGGGGGAAACACAAGATTCAGACCATCTGTTTCTGTTCCCCAGTGAAACAACCCACAGGGCCCCGCCTGGCACCTAACGGCCCGGGCCAAGAAGGGGCGACGGAGGGGTCTCTCTAGAACCCAGTGCCTAAAAGGGGGACGGTGGAAATCTGAGGCCATGCTGCCCACAGCAAAGATGGCCGACTGTTGGGGGGGGGGGACAATGGCTACAGGGGAAAGAGCCCCGCCCCAGCTTCCTCCCCATCTGCCCCTCCCAAACACCTCATCCACACACCCCCCACAGCCCTACTGCCCCCCTCAGACTCCCAGCTCCTGAACCTGCCCCATGACCACAGGGGAGGGGCACTGCCTCTCCTTCCCTCTGCCCCCCCCGATCTTCACACACACACCCCCAGGCCAGAGCTGCCCCGCTTAACAGAGATGGTTGGTGGGAAAACACCCCCCCCCCCCAGCTCTGACTCTTTGGGGGGCGGGGGAGCTAGATGAGATAGATCCCCCACCACGGCCTGTCCACCTCAAACTCCCATGGGGGAGGCTAGGGGGCACCTCAAGCCCCCCTCCCAGTTTGGCTCCCCCCCTACACATGCAATGAGTAGGGCCTGGAATAGCCTGTGGCTAAATCAAGCTGAGCCCCATGGGGGGAGATTTGGGGGAAGGATGTGAAGATGCTCTGGGAGGGGGGGCATGGGACAGATACTCCAGGGATGGGGGGGGCAGTAAGCACCAAAATTCCTGTGTTGGGGGATGATCTGTCTTGGAGGGCAGACGCTGTCTTTGGGCTCAGTGGGCAGAGGGGCGGGCGCTCTGTCTCGGGCATGGCCCCTAGGGGGTGAGGGGGATGGACAATTGATTCCCCTTCACACTGCCCCTCCAGTGCATTGTGGGAGATTTTGCAAAGACACACACACACACACACTCTCTCTCTCTCTCCTCCCCCTCCCTCCCTCCAGCTTGGGAAGGGCTTTTCATCAGTACATGTCAAAACAATCAGTACATTTTACCCGGCAGGTCACGATCATTAATCCCATCCTGCAGCTTGGGGAAACCGAGGCACGGAGCGGCAAAGCGACGCCCCCGCGGTCACCTGCTGGCGCTGCAGAAGTAATTCGGTCGCCGGAACAAAGGCAGAGGCCAAGCGAAGCCGCGGCAAGCGAAGAGTTACAGGCGCCCGCGACTTCGAGAGACGCCGGCGAAACCAAACCACACGGGAGCTTTGGCTGGCGCTTGTTAGAAAATTTAATCGCTAAAATGTCAATGCTGCACACGGAGCGCAGGCCGCTTTCCCTGAGACGTTGGTGGCTGGCCACCGATTTCGGCAAGTGGCCACCGGTTTGGGGCAACAGTCGGTTGAAAAGCCACGACTGGTTTCCAGAACCAACGAGCACTCGTGATTCGATGGAGGGGGGGTCTCAGGGCGGGTCTGGAGTTGGGAGTCCTCAAATTAAGCCATCTCCCACTGAAAATAGTCAGTGGCCGCTTCTTTAGAGTTGTAAGCCAACGTTTTCAAGTCCACTAGATAAAGAGATCAGTCCTGGGGGGAGAAAAGCCCCAGTGCCCAGGAGACTGGGGTGGGGGGGCTGAAATGCCCCAGTGCCCCCTGCTCGAGAAATCACAGGGGTTTATTTCCCGACCTCTCCTGCAGAGCTCCGGGCGTTGTGCTGAGTTGGCCGCAGGCCGACCTGCTCCACCCCAGAGCCACCAGCCCGAGTTGCCAGCGGTGGCTATAGGAGAATGCAGGTGTCGGTGTGGTGTGGCGGCGAGTGGGCCGGTGGGGCCGAGGGGATCCCGGCCCACGGGCCCGGCGGGGTCGTCCCTGCAGAGGGGACCGGCTGGGCCGGATGGCAGCGCAGCAAGGGGTCAACAGGAGAGCCGATATCTCCACCTGAACCAGGGCGCCCGGTGTCTGGCCAGCCCTGCTCGGGGGTCACTGAGACACTGGCCTCTGGAGGAGGGAGGGGATCCGGGGCCACCCCTGAGAGCTGCTTAATAGGGGAGACGGCCTGGCCTGTGGATGGATCTGCAGGGATCGGGCCCACAGGGGATCCCACAGCCGCTGATGTGCCCTGGTTCTGACCCACGGCTTTAGGGACCGGCTGTGCCCGAGAGGCATCCCCAGCCAAAGGGTGGTCTTGGAAGGGAGGCACCAACTGGACCCGCTTGAGCCGGGCCTGGGGTGGCCCCGGTGCCGCTGGGCACAGGGAGGGCGACTCTGGGGCTGCAGCGGGGGCCGGGGGGACCTCCCGGGTGAGAGGGTACACGACCGGGCGAGCAGCAGCACCGGGATCAGCCGGGGCGAGGGGGGACTCTGCCCCAAGCCAGAGCCACGACCTGCTGCACGGCCCCGATGCTGGGAGAACCACGGGGGCGCTGGGCACCAAGTCAGGTAACTCCCAGCTGGCTTCAGGTCGGGCGGCCTCTGGGCGCTGCATGGCCTGGAGGCTCGGCCCCCATCTCGGAGCCACGAAGGTGGGAGGGGGCTTGACTGGGACTTTGGGGTCCCCAGCCGGGTCGGGAGCTGTGAGGACTGGAGGGATCTCGGGCAGGGTGGGAGGGGGTTCAGCTGCGGAGTCGGGGTCCCCAGGTCAAGTCGGGAGCTGCCGGGAAGGAAGGGGGCTCAGATGGAGTGTCGGGGTCCCCAGTCAGGTCGGGAGCTGTGAGGACTGGAGGGATCTCGGGCAGGGTGGGAGGGAGCTCAGCTGCGGAGTCGGGGTCCCCAGTCAAGTCGGGAGCTACCGGGAAGGAAGGGGACTCAGCTGGGGTGTCGGGGTCCCCAGTCAGGTCGGGAGCTGCTGGGACGGGAGGGATCTCGGCCAGGGTGGGAAGGGGCTCAGATGGGTCGTCGGTGTCCCCAGCCAGGGCAGCAGCTTCTTGTGGGATCCACAGGGCGAGACCTTGAAAAACAAACCCAGTTAAATCCCACTGACAGAGCCCGGTGCCACCCCCACAGCTGAGCCACGCCCCTGCCCCTGCCCGCGAGGTTTGGGCCTGCCAAGCTCAGCACTAGACGCTGCTTGGGCTGGTGGGGGAGCTCCCTCAGCCGGCAGCGGCTGGAGGGTTTTATCCTCTGAGCCGGACCAACCAGCAGGGGGCGACAGAGTCCTGCCCCCACCCTCGATGCGTCACCTGCCCCAGTGCATTCTGGGAAATGCCCAGCGTGCCTGGGCCAATGGGATGCAGCGTGGCACCAGCGATGCATACTGGGAAACGTCCCGCCCCGCTGTGCATTATGCCCCAGTGCATTCTGGGAAGGTCTGGGCCACACAGCAAGCAGTCCCAGCAGGGCATTGTGGGAGACGTCCCGCCACAGGGAGAGCTGGGAAGGAGGAGGACCAGCCGAGCCAGTCACAACGGGACCCTCTGGCCCGTAGCGCTGGGCTGGCCCTGTTCCTACGCCCACAACAGAGTGGCCGATGGTTCGGGGCCTTAACATCTGGGTGGGGGAAGCCCCATCAACCCCTTTAGGGGACCCAGCCTGACCTCCCCCCCCCAATCACACATCCCTTGGGGGGGACCCAGCCCAGCCCCTTAATATCTCCCCCACACCTTGCAAGGCAGCTGTCCCCCCAACCCCCCGTTACGTACCAGGCTCTGCCCTGGGGGGTCCGTCGGGGTCCACTGGCAGCAGCAGCATCTGCACCCCGCAGCCCTGCATCCTCACCACGTCAGGCATCTGCGCCAGCCGCTGCTTGGTGGAGGCCGTGCAGCCCAGGGGCAGCGGGTGCTGGTGGGCGGCGCTGTACGCGGCACGGAACTGGAAGAGGGACATGCCCCCGGGGTGCCCGGCCAGGATGGCCCCCACCTTCCGCTTCAGCTCCCTCAGGTCCTCAGGGGGCTGGGCCCTGGACTCCTGGGTCCCCTCCTCTGCTTGCAGAACCAAGGGGGCGCTGGCCTGCCTGGCCCCGGACTCCTGGATCCCCTCCTCTGCTCGCAGGGCCAAGGGAGCGCTGGCAGGCCTGGCCCCGAACTCCTGAGTCCCCTCCTCTGCTCGCAGAACCAAGGGGGCGCTGGCAGGCCTGGTCCTGGACTCGTGGGTCCCCTCCTCTGTTCGTAGGCCTGAGCAGGTGCCGGTGGGCCGGGGTGGGCTCCGTAACCAGGCTGGGAGGCGGGGGTTGGCCCCTGGGGACTTTCCCAGCTTTCCCTGGGCGGCAGGGGCCCGGAAGGGCTCCCGGGCCGAAGGCAGGCTGGGAAGCAGAGGCCGGTTGGTGGTAGCACTGGGCAGCCGGGGGTTGAGGCAGGCGGTGGCGGGTTGGGGCGGGCGCTCCGCGGCATTCGTTGGGAGGAGGCACCTCTTGGAGCCAGGCAAGGGGCGGGCACTGCCAGGGGGCAAAGATCCAGAGCCTTTCTTCTGCCCTGGGGGGGGGGGGGGGGGAACGTGCCGTCAGGGTGGGTAACAGGCACGTGGCATCCCCCAGCATGCACGGCAGCTACCGCTCTGCCTGTATCCCGCTCCGGACCCGCCTGGACTTTTCCCACGATGCACGGGAGCAAAGGCGGGTTTATGCCATGGGTGAGTTGGGGGGGGAACCCCGCGGCCTGCCCCACAGCCGGAGAGTCAGACAATAAGGAATCCAGGTCTCAGCTACCCGCAATGGCCCCATGGAGAGCTGGGGGCAGGGCTCTGGCCTGTGGAATGGAGTTCTGACAGCCAGTCCAGGAGGAGTCAGGACTCCTGGGTTCTCTCCCCTGTTCTGGGAGGGGAGTGGGGCCTAGTGGTTTGAGCAGGGGGCTATGAGCCAGGACTCTTGGGTTCTGTTCCCAGCTCTGAGTGGGATTTATTGTCCCGTTCTCCCCCCCACACACACCCCATCGTACCTGTCCCCAGCCAGACGATACACTTCGCTCCCTTCTCCGGCTGCCTGTACTCCAGCGCGGGCAGGCGCCTCTGCAGGAATCCGAGCACGTCCTCCTCGCCCTGGGAGCTGACAAACCGCTTCAGATCCAGCCCGTGTCTCTCCAGCAGCAACTCCTGCAGCTTCTGCAGCTGCAGGCCAGACTTGTATGGGCGTAGCAAGCACTTGAGCAGCGTCAGGACCTCAGTCGCACCTGCACAGAGGCCGAGGGAAGGAAGATCGCCAAGGTCAGGGGTGGGGAATGGGGCCTTTTCCCCTCTGGGGGCACCAGCTCCCACCCGGCCCCAGGGCAGGGAATGGCTGGCTCCAGGGGAAGGGATGAATCTGAGTTTCCTATGTCCTAGGTGTGGGGGGGCGGGAAAAAACAGCTACACCCCACTTCTTCCAGCACACAGGCTACAATTCCCCCACCCTCCACTAGGGGGCAGCCCCTACACATCCTCTCACTGGCCTCTAGCTATTCCCTGGATTCTGGCCCATTCGGATCCGCACCCCCCCAACTCCGGGATCCGGGGTGATCGGTTTGGCCCGTCATACACACCCGGGCAGGGAGCGTCGCCCGATCCTATTCATCGTTAACAATACTTGTACTGATGGCCAACTGATCCAGTGGGAATAAGGTTCTTGTCCCAGAATCAGGCTAATACCAAGGAGTTCGAAATCTTGGTGGGAACCTCGGGGTGTCTGGCAAGGACACGCGCACCGGAGGCAAAGCAAAGCCGTGGCGATTTTGATTAAGATCAGCAATAAAGCCAGAAAAGCTCATAACGAGAGAGGAACAATACAGTATTGGAGATATCTGGAGTACCTACTAAATCTGCATGCTCACACCCTTCCTCGAGGGCCTGGTGGGCAGAGACAAAGGTCTGATGGTCCAGGTTCCTCAACGCTCAAGAGGGACAGCAGATAACAATAGAGAAGGTGGCTCAAGTGACGGCCAGCTAGCCCCCTCCACACGGTGGTTGGCCCTATTACAGGGCCCGAATGCTATCATGAATAACCCTTCGAGGGGTTGTGAGTGCTTTGGGGGACAGGACTAAAATTCAAAATGATCTGGACAAACGGGAGAAATGGTCTGAAGTCAATAGGATGAAATTCAATAAGGACCCTGCAAAGCGCTCCACTTAGGAAGGACCAATCAGTTGCACACATACAAACTGGGAAATGATGGCCTAGGAAGGAGTACTGCAGAAAGGGATCTGGGGGTCATGGTGGATCACAAGCTAAATACCAGTCAACAGTGTCACGCTGTTGCAAAAAAACCAAACATCATTCTTGGCTGTATTAGCAGGAGTGTCGTAAGCAAGACACGAGAAATAATTCTTCCGCTCTACTCTGCAATGATTAGGCCTCAACTGGAGTATTGGGTCCAGTTCTGGGTGCCACATTTCAGGAAAGTTGTGGACAAACTGGAGAAAGTCCAAAGAGGAGCGACAAAAATGATTCAGGTCTAGAAAACATGAGCTATGAGGGAAGATTGAAAAAACCACGGGTTTGTTTAGTCTGGAGAAAAGAAAACAGAGAGGAGGTGATAAGTTTTCAAGTCCATAAAAGGCTGTTACAAAGAGGAGGGAGAAAATTCGCATTAACCCCTGAGAAGCAATGGGCTTAAATTACAGCAAGGGCGGTTTAGGTTGGACATTAGGAAAAACTTCCTGTCAGGGTGGTTAAGCACTGGAATAAATTGCCCAGGGAGGTTGTGGAATCAGCATCATTGGAAGTTTTTCAGAGCAGGTGTGATAAATGAGGGAGGAGGAGGTAGTTCCCTTTTGTAGACACCCAGCCAGCCAGTTGGCTGTGGAATCCCTCTTCGTGGTTGTTCTCTACCTACTTTTCCTGTAAAGGGTTAACAAGCCCGCAGGTAAAAGGAGCCAATGGGAGGCTAGAACGTTTTAAAATTGGGAAAAGACTTCCCTTTGTCCCTGTTGTGTTTCTCCGGGAAAGAGGGGAACAGGAAGCAGTTATGCTGTGAGAAGCTTTAAACCAGGTATGAAAAACCATCAGATCATACCTAAAGATTGCTTACCTGAAACCCCAGAAATGTAAGTAAATTAGGGAATGTCTAGGAAGACGCGATTAGGGTTATTTCTTATTGGCTTGTGGACTCCTCTGTGCTAAACCCAAATGTGTTTTGTTTTGCTTGTGACCTTTAAGCTGCACCTCAAGAAGGCTATTCTTGGTGTTTAAATTTTGTAAGTGGGTTATTTAAATCTGGCAAAAGCCTGAGTTCCCAGATGTATTTTCTTTCTTTTTGTTTTTAATAAAATTTACCCTTTTTAAGAACAGGATTGGATTTTTGGTGTCCTAAGAGGTTTGTGCGCATGTTATTTAATTAGCTGGTGGCAACAGCTGATTTCCTTTCTCAGCTCTTCCCCGGGGGGGGGGAGGTGAAAGGACTTGAGGGTACCCCATGAGAAGGAATTCTCAAATGCACCTTCCTGGGTTTCAAGGGGTTTGCATTTGGGTGGTGGCAGCATCTACCCAGCCAAAGTCAGAGAGAAGCTGGAACCTTGGGAGTTTAATACAAGTCTGGAGTGGCCAGTGTTAATTGTTTGAATCCTTGCCGGCCCCCACTTTCTGCACCTGAAGTGCCAGAGTGGGGAATTGACCTTGATAGCAGGTTAGACAAACACCTGTCAGGGATGGTCAGATAATACTTAGTCCTGCCATGAGTGCAGGGGACTGGACTAGATGATCTCTCGAGGTCCCTGCCAGTTCTAGGATTCATTCAAGTGCTCGGCCTTCCGTGCCCAGATCTAACTTCCTCACTCTTCTCCTCAGGTGTACTTATCCGATAGGTGGGGCCCTGCCATATTCACAGCCGTGAAAAACGTGTCATGGACCATGAAATCAGACCTGCCCCGTGAAATCTGGCTATGGGAGGAGAGGGGAGGGACCGGGCTGATGGCATTTTAATTCATCACCGCACCAGTCACCCCTGGCTCCAACGGGTTTTGCGGTTACCACTTCCCTGTTCCTGCCACGGCAGCTTAGAGGCAAGTGTGGGGCCGTTTCTCTACGGGATACGGGCCTGTAGGTTACAGGTGAATATAACAAAGGCAATGCAGCCCTATGGGCTACTCCCCCCCGCTCAGCACAGCCCCCTCACTTCTCTCTAGGGTGCCCAGACATCCCAATATTAGGGGTTTTACCCTCCCCTCTCCAAAAGTTTCCTGATTTTTCACATTTGCTATCTGGTCACCCTACTTCTCTCCGGCGCAGAAGCATATTCTGGGTCCCAGTCCCCGGCGTCCCAGCTGTCGGCCACCCCTGGCTCCTGGGGGATGCCGGCAGCTGCTTCCCCGGGACAGGAAGCTGCGTGGGGATGCGGGGACCCTGGAGAGGGCAGAATGGGGCCTTCACTGCCCACCCCGAAATGACAGCCCGCCTCCCCCCCCCCAGTCTGCCAGGGGTCGTTTGGGGGACGGGGAAAGGGGTGACAGGGCAGAGTGGAGAGAGTCAGGGTCCCAGGTTGGCGTCACATTTTGCTGCCCTTTGGCCTTTAACCCCACAGGGCTGGTAATAGCAGATTCCTCGTGGTTAGAGCAGGGGAGGCTGGGAGCCAGGACTCCTGGGTTCTATCCCCGGCTCTGAGAGAGGAGTGGGGGCTAGTGGTTACAGCAGGGGGGCTGGGAGCCAGGACTCCTGCGTTCTGAGCCTCGCTCTGGGCCACACTCCCTACCTCTCTGGAGCCACACGATGCAGTTGTTGCCCTTCTCTGGGCCCCGGAGCGTGAGTCCGGGGACATCCCGCAGGAAGGAGACCACGTCCCCGTAGCCTCTGGCCTGGCTGAAGGCCTCCAGCTCGGCTCCATGTTTCCCCACCAGCAGCTTCCGCAGGTTCTTCACCCGCATGCCAAAGGGGTAGGGGGCCAGGGCGCCCCGGATCAACGCCTCCATCGCGCCGGGCTTTGCCACCCGACGCTGGCCCTGCGTCCGCTTCGCTGGGCCCGCGGCACCCGGCCCCCCCGCTTTGGCAGGATGGGAGGGGGCGGGGAGCGCAGGGGCATTAACAGCAGCATCTGAAGAGGAGGGGAAAGACACAAAACAGCCCCTCAATGGGGGGGATGCGAGGCCCCCACGGGTCCACCTCCGGCCAGCAGGCACAGGGCCCCCCGCCCCGGGGCAGGCCCACCCATGCATCCCCCTGCCCAGCATGGCCTCCTCACAGCCCCTAACCCCAGCTGTGCCCTGCAACCCCGCCCCCAGGAACCCTCACCCCCCCGGGCACATGCCCAGCTGTACCCTGCCCCCCCCCATAGGCACATGCCCAGCCGTGCCCCTCTATCCCCCCCGAGCACAGCCCCTCACAGCTGTGTCCTCCCCCACCTTTCACACCGGGCAGGGCCCCAGCTGCATCTCCCGCCATAGGCCCAGCTGCCCGGCACCCCCCCGGCCGCTTGCCCACCTACCCGCGTCCAGCCGGGCCAGGCAGGCGTCGCCCTTGCCCGGGTCCTGCAGCCAGAGGTGGGGCAGAGCCCGGAGCAGGTGCAGGGCGTCCCCGCAGCCCCGCTGACGGCTCAGCTCCTCCAGGTCCAGCCCGCGCTCGCTCCGCAGCGCCTCCTTCAGCTTGCCCACCTTCAGCCCCAACGGGAAACGGCCCAGCACGTCCCGCACCCAGGCCGAGACCTCGGCCAAGCCTGCCACGAGACGGGGGGATGGGGGGGCTGTGAGAGCCTGCGCATGCTGAGAGCCCCCCCGTCATGGGGCACTCTGTGCATGTGCACCCAGCGCTGGGGACGAGGGGCCGTTCGGCAGCCCCCACGGGCCTGAGTCCTCGGGCGTCCCCAGAGCGGGGGCAGGGCCCAGGAGAGCACCCCACATGCTGCCCCCCACTACTCACAGTCCGCTGCCAGTGTCCCCCCCCCCAGCCAGCCCCTGTACCCCGGCCACAGGCTCCCTCCAACCCCAGCCCCCCCCGTCAACATAAACCAGACAGCCTCCCAAAGATTTTCCTCACAAATGGCAATGGTGCCACATACCTGGCCCCCGCCAAAACAGCCCTACAGACACACCCCCCCAACGCCCCCCACCCATCTCCCTCCAACATGCCCTGCCCCATAGCCCCCCCAGAGATGGGCGAGGGAAAGAGACCAGCCGCCGAGCCCCACAGAGCCATTCCCCAGGGGGGCAAATGGGAGCTCAGGCTATGGGGCGATGGGGGGGTGGCATTGGGGGGGCCTGGCTTGGGCTGAGTCCTCCCTGCCCAGGCTCACGCCCCACACGCGGCGGCCACACTGAGAAGCCGGCTGAGCTGCTCACCGGGCGTCTCCCCCGGGGCTCCCGTTGGCCCCCCGTCGGCAGGGGCATCGGCGGGGGGCTGCTGCTGGGCCGGGCCGATGGGGGAGCGGGGGTCTGGGGGGGGGCTGTGGGGCAGGGGGCGTCACAGCCTCACCTAAAGGAGGGGAGAAGATACAAGAGCACCTCAGTGGGAGTGAAAAGACGTACACCCGGCCCCCACACGTCCCCCTCCCACCAGCGGGCACATCCCCCTCCCCTCCCCCAGCTCCTGCCACCGGGCATGTCCCCCTCTCCCCTCCCCTAGCTCCCCACCCCCGGGCACAGCCCCCTGCCCTGCAACAGGCCCACCTATGCCTCCCACCACCAGGAACAGCCTCCCCACACCCCATAATCTCCGTTGTGCCCTGCTAACTCCCCACCACCAGGAACCCCCACTCCCTGGGCACATGCCCAGCCATGCCTCCCCCCTCCCCACCCCCCGAGAACATGCCCAGCCGTACCCTACCCCCTCCCACATGGACCAGAGCCCCCCTCCCAGCCACGTACTCCCCCAGCTTCCACGGCCCCAGCTGTCCCCGCCGGCCGCTTGCCCACCTACCCGCGTCCAGCCGGGCCAGGCAGGCGTCGCCCTGGCCCGGGTCCTGCAGCCAGAGGTGGGGCAGAGCCCGGAGCAGGTGCAGGGCGTCCCCGCAGCCCCGCTGACGGCTCAGCTCCTCCAGGTCCAGCCCGCGCTCGCTCCACAGCGCCTTCTTCAGCTTGCCCACCTTCAGCCCCAGCGGGAAACGGCCGAGCACGTCCCGCACCCAGGCCGAGACCTCGGCCAAGCCTGCCACGAGACGGGGGGGATAGGGGGGCTGTGAGAGCCTGCGCACGCTGAGAGCCCCCCCGCCATGGGGCACTCTGTGCGTGTGCACCCAGCGCTGGGGACGAGGGGCCGTTCGGCAGCCCCCGGGCCTGAGTCCTCGGGCGTCCCCAGAGCAGGGACAGGGCCCAGGAGAGCACCCCACATGCTGCCCACCACGAGGAACAGCCTCCCCACACCCCATAATCTCTGTTGTGCCCCAATTCCCCCCTACACACACAGCAGGAACCCCCACTCCTGGGCACATGCCCGGCCGTACCCTGCCCCTGTAGATAAATCTCCGCATTAAGCATCTTTGCGTAACTGCGTATCGTTTTCATCATTTTCATATGACTTTTGTATTATGCCTCTTCATACAACCTTGTACACCTCTACCCCGCTAGAACACGACCCAGTAGAACACGAATTTGGATATAACATGGTAAAGCAGCGCTCC